CGCCCGCCACGCCTTCCGCACCTCCAGCGCCGTCATCCCCTTCCTCGCCATCGTGCTGGGCTGGCCTATTATAGCGGCAAAGACGCTGGATAAGGCTACGGGGATGTGACTATTTGAGCGGCAGCGGGGTGCAGGTTTGAGGGAGGGGGAGGAGAGGGAGAGGGAGAGCGAGAGGGAGAGGAGGGATGGGGAGGATGTGGATGGGGATGAGGTGGATGAGGTGGAGGAGTTGATTTTGGGTATGCGGTGGGATGATTAGGGGTAGTAGGATGGGGTTTGGTTTCGTGTGTATTGTTTGGGGTTTTTTGGGGGGTTTTTTTTGGGATTAGCTTGGGGGAGGTTATTTCGGGAGGCTTATGGGATCGATGGGATTGGAAGGGAAGGACTGCAAGTGAAGACTGGGGATGTGACAGGCGCGGATACAACACCAGCTTCGGAGTAATCGATCAGACAAATAATTAAAAAACAGTTCAAAGGAATGCTTCTGTCGAGTTCAATAGTCCATGGCACAGTGCATGAGAGAAGACGGTGTATTCCTCTCTAAGCCAGACGTTGAAGTCCAGTCCTCCAATCCTCTCCTCCCCTCCACCTCTCCTGCAGCAGACCGCAAACTAAGATACCAAAAGCAAAAGTTCTCATCAAAAGTTAATCACGCTCGCCTCCAACACGCCCTCACTCCCAATCAAACTCTGCACAACCTCATCCCCAACCGCCCCATCCACCCCAAGAATCATCAACGCCTCATTCCCCTCCTCCCCTCCAGCACCAGCAGCCTCCGTCCCACTCCCACTCCCATGCCCATTCTCCTCCTCATGCAACGGCGCTACATTCATGAACCGAATATTCACCCCAGCCTTCCCCAACTGGCTCCCCACGAACCCAATCTTCCCGCACGAGTCGAAATTGCGGCAGATCAGCAACGTGCCCTTGGCCACGAACTCGCCCTTGAAGCGGTCCAGGCGCGAAATGTACGGCTTGTTGCCCGACACGAAACCCTGTATCACCTGGTCCTGGTCTTCGGCCGACTGCTTCTGCGACTGCAGCGCGCGCTTCGCGGACGGCGAGTTGGAGCGCGAGAGGTCGGAGCGGACGGCCGAGGTGGAGCGCGATGCGCGGGCCCGCAGCGTCACGAACGAAGAGTAGGGTTTGTCTTCGACGTTTTCGCGCGAGCGCTGCTCGTTGATGAGGATGCCGCGTTCCTTTGCGAGGAGCTCGGCGTTGACGATGTTGATGTTCAGGCCGTCCGAGGATGTGATGGGCGTGAGGAGGCCCTTGACGAGGGCGGCAAAGAGGGGTTTGGTGGTGTTGAGGCCGGCGAGCTCGCCTTCGTAGATGATGTCGAAGGTGGTGCGGAAGGACTTTGTCGCCGTACCGGAGGCGGAGCGGTGGGTTAGGAAGTGCTGTGTGTAGAGAGACCCCATCTTTTCGACGAGGATCACGAATGGCTGTAGGGTTCGGTACTCCTCCTGCAAAATGATGGGGGCATTGACGGCTGATCGTGGCAGGCCTCCGTTGAGGATCGTAACGACTTGCTCGCACACGTCGATCGAGACGTTTTCTTGAGCCTCTCTTGTTGATGCCCCCAGATGAGGAGTGGCAACCACTTTAGGATGAGCGATCAATCGGCTTGCTGAGCTATCTGGCTTCGGAGGCTCAGACGTGAACACATCAATACCAGCACCAGCTATCTTTCCGGCATCGAGAGCTGCCACCAGAGCGTCCTCATCGATCATGCCCCCTCTCGCGACGTTCAATATCCGAGCAGTTGGTTTCATTGTAGCAAGTTCCGCAGCTCCAATCATGCCCCTGGTTGATGCAATGAGTGGAGTGTGCAATGTCAGGAAATCCGCCTCCTTGAGCACATCCGCAAGAGTGGGCTTAAGAGTAACAGATGCAGCAGCAGCCAGGTTCGCGTTCGCATACGGGTCATACGCAATCAGCCGCATCCCGAAGCCGTTCGCAATTCGAGCAACAGTAAGGCCGACTAGGGAACCGTGAGTACGTGGCTGATTGCAAAAGTATTTCATCCGCACCTTTTCCGAGACCAACAATGCCCAGCGTCCTGCCTTTTGCTTCAATGCCGGTGAGACGGCTACGGTCCCACTTGCCAGCCTTGATGCTGGCATCCGCGTCTCCAATATTCCGGGCCACAGCCATCATGACTAGAATCGTCAGTTCGGCGTTCAGTTAGAGTGGCAAATCGCGTACGCGCAATGGTGTGCTCCGCTGCGGCATTGATATTGCCAGAAGGCGAATTCACCACAATCACTCCATGCTGTGTAGCTGCTTCGACATCGACATTGTCGACGCCAACACCAGCTCTTGCCACAACCTTGAGCTTCTTAGCAGCCTTGATGAGGTCTGCCGTGACCTTGGTCTCGGAGCGAATGATCAAAGCCTCGTACTCGCCAATGATGGTTTTGAGCTCCTCTGGGCTGAGTCCCTTCTTCTCGTCGACATCGAAGTCCTCCTTGAGAAGTGCAAGTCCATCCGGAGATACCTTCTCAGGAATGAGGACTTTTGGTCTGGTTGGGCTCAATGAGATGGGCATGTTGATTACACTGGCGCAAATGGGTAAAGCGTAGCTGCTGGGAGAAACAGATCTACGCTTCGTATTTATCTATTCTGAGGAGCACGGTCCGCTATCGGACGTCAGTCCTGCAATTCATCTTCATCAGCTGTGAGCGGAAGCTTTGTACAGGAGCTTGCTTACTCTTTGCGGTTTAGATTGCTACCCCGCCCCCGCGTTTTGGTGATGGTTACCCCACGATTGCGCCTTCGGCCTGCCAATGTCTTATATAAACGACCGTGAATTACCTTTTGGGGACTTCGTATGCATACGAAGTGGGACCGGAGTATGTTTTGGGTGGCAGGGATATCTATCGGCGACTAAGACAGAAGGGCACTGAACGCACTGCATCGGGGTAGACAACAAAGAGCTCGGGATAGGCTGAGCTAGTCGTATTGTACTGCAGACGTGGACCAAGAAGACGACTGCAAAGAAGCGTTACATCGACTGTGAATGCTCAGGGTACCTGTACAAATGCTGTGTCCCGGTCCCGGTCCTATTGGAAGATTTGTACAAACGTGGGGTGTTGACCGTGGGAGTGCGCCACGGCATGCAAACTGCCATGTGAAGCTCTCACCAGTTGGCACGTGTCTTCAGGTTCTCATTCTGTAGAATCTCGATCCAATAACCATCGGGATCTTGTACCACTGTTAGTAAGCATACAGATCGCCGAACGCTGAAACGTACCAAGAACAAAAGCAATGTTCTTCATCCGCCCGTCAGTCAGCCTCTTCTTCCAATTGACCTTCTGCTCTTCGAAGCGGGCACATGCAGCATCAAGGTCGTCGACGGACAGACAGATATGACCGAAGCCCTGGGGTTGAGCGTTACCGTCGTGGTACTTGAAGTTCGGATCCTTTTCAGTTCCGTAGTTCCACGTTAGTTCCAGCAGACCTTCGCGATCAGCAATCGGGCTGACACCCTTTGCTGAGGTTGCCGGCGCATCAGGACCATAGCCCAGGAAGTAGAGATTGAAACCCCCTTCCTTCATTTCCGAAGTCCGCAGTAGCTTCATGCCCATGGTCTCTTGGTAGAACTTCAGAGAAGCTTGGGCGTCCTTGACGCGGATCATGGTGTGGTTCTCGTCCAGTCAGTTTCGGCTCAGTAGCAACAGCGATATACATACCAATCTATACGTAGCAGGGTCCGTCTCCTTGATATTTTCAGTCTCCTCCAGTGGCTTCTGAGGAATAATCTCCACCCAGTAACCATCAGGATCCAGAACGAACGCAATGCTCCGCATCTTCCCATCCGTCAACCTCTTCTGAAACTTATATCCCGCATCTTCTAGCCGTCGGCACGCCGCTTGGATATTATCGACCGATATGGCCAAATGGCCGAAGCCGCGAGCGGGTTCCTGGTTGCCGTTCGCGATCTTATAATCCGGGTCGTTCTCGGTCCCGTAGTTGTGTGTGAGTTCCACGATACCTTCCCGATCTGTCCAGTGGTTGCCGTGCGAGACTGCCCTGGGGCTATCGTATGCGAGGAAGTAGAGGTCGAATTTCGCATCGGGATTCTCGAGCTTGTTGATCAGCTTTAGGCCGAGGAATTCGTAGAATTGAACGGAGCGTTTGGGATCCTTGACACGGATCCTATAAACCGTAAGTATAATCCATCCACAGTCGAATTTGGGCAGGGCAACGCACATAGAGTGGTTAAGTTTGTATTTGGTGGGGTCCGTTGAAGCCATGGTTGCTAGGGCTCGGAGAATGCTGGGAGGGAGGGTGTGGTTGATTGTACGAAAAGCAATTGAACTGCGCAGTCGGAAGCAATGTGATACTGCAGGTCGCAAGAATAACATCAATTGCAGTTCCAAACGTCGCTGCGATGGAATTCAAGCAAAATCGAACGCGGGGAGCTGCTAATAAGTGGTTTCCAAGCGGTTTCGGGAATGTGGTTCAAGGGATGACGTTTGCTGAGTAAGCGCTGCTCCGCAGCCCGTCGGCAATTGCTCGGAATTATCTGCCCTAGGCTCTGGACAGAACACATTCACCCGAAAACAACCGCCGATGACTGTTGATTTCCAGACATATACTCCAGCTCTTTCTCTTTTGTAATCACGGGTCCTATGGAGTATATTAGGGGAACATGCCAGAAACACGAAGGCACGTGATGTGGCTCGGCTGATTGGGCACCTGGTCAGATCCATGGATAAGCGGTCGGCGCTTTACCGCGCTTGACAATTAGTCTCTTCCTGACATCACAACACCATGCACAGCAGTCTTGTATACTCGCCTCTACTTGTAGCTGCGCTTCGGCCTTGATTTCTATGCCACTACTAGTCGCGGAGGGCTTTGTTGACCGATTTCCCTGGGGGTCCCGCCGCTGAGACGTGGCGGGAACCGAAGATATCACAAGCCATATCTCCCTCCCATTGCTAGCATTCGTATGTGACTAGGTATGGCTTATGCTCTTCACTTTAGTATTGTTTGAATCCTCTTTTTTTCTGTTAATCTTCTCAGTTCTTACTACTCTTCCCGTTCCTTTCAAGTTATTCATCGTTTCCCTCTCCATCCCCGCGTAACTGAATCTCGTATCCTGACATGACTTCGCAGACCCAAAATGTTAAACGTTCTCAAGCTCAGCGAGCTCCTCGCCAAAAATGTCGACCCGAAGCTCTACCCCCGTCTATTGTAAGTCCCACTCATTCTCCACCTCTCCACATCCACATCACTCACGTGCCCTGCCAGCGTCATGTCCCCCAACGGCACCCTAATGGCCTACTCCACCCCCGTCGACGTCAAAGAGCTCCGAGATCAAGCCGCCCTCATCTCCATGGCTTGGAAAGAGCACGAAGCAGCATTGAAGAAGAAACATGTTAACGACGCGAACGCCTCAGAAAGCCAGAGCTCAGCTTCGCCGCCTGCGCTGGAAACGCTGACAATAGAATTCCAACACAACAATATCATTGTGCGCGCACTGCAGCCGAAACTTCTCCTGGTACTCGTCGGCGGCGTCCCGCCGTCGCGCAAGTCAGTGTTCAAAGTCACGCCAGAGGCACACGGCGATCCCCGGTATCCGCCGGCGGAACCGTCAGAAGTAGAGGAGCCGGCAACGAGCCCGCCAGAGATGCCAACGGAAGGAACCCCGAGTAATGGAGACGCCGGCAATGGGAAGAGAAGAGCTGCCTCCATTCTAAGTACGATGAGCCAGCGAGAGAAGGACCTAAAGATCGGGGCACTGCATATCCAGCGGAAGAAGATAGACGCGTTGACTGCCTTCATTCGGGCGGATTTTGATGCGAAAGGCTTCGTCATGCCAGATGATTCAGGGTTTCTGTAGCTCTTTACTCGGACGGGGCTGTTCTGTGTGTTCCTCTCTTGTTGGTTATGTGTGTGTTTGGTGCTTTGGTTATTGGGAGATACCTTCTCTGGTGTCGGTGGTTGCTTTCGGCTCTTCTCGGTTATTCATTGGCAGTCCCATTCAGCAGTCCAAATCTATGACTTCAAAACCTTGCCGGCTTCAATGACTAAGGTTTCACGACGCATAAGAAGTGTAGAATATTGATGTAAAGATGTTGTATTACCATTATAGCCTTGCTGCAAACCCAGTCACACCATTCGCGAGTCCAAAACCATTCCCTTGCAGTTCCTTACCTTTAGGGTTGTTTGCGCCACACACCCGACATCCCACTAATGAAGAGGAAACCGATAAAGGTGACCTCGAAGAATAAGAATCACGTCACAGAAAATTACGCGCTCAGTCTCCAAGACTCAGAGGGTTACCCTTGCTCTCGCCGGCACCGCTCCTGGGAACAGAAGTTAGGCTCATGATCCAACACATACGCGGGGATTACTCACCTGCGCTTCTTGCTCAGTAACATCAACCTCAGCTTCGCAGCATTGGCTTTAGCTTCGGCGAGTTCAAGTTGAGCGCGGAGCTCCTCCTCGCTGTCCCCATCCCCTTCAACCTCTTCCTCACGCAGCAAGTCCGCTTCGGCAGGTCCGGATGGCTTGATGGAAGCTTCAGCTGCGCGGTGCCTATTGCTGAGTTTAGATTCGTCGTCAAGAGGTTCGGCTTTGATCTTGGGCGCAGGCGATGGCTTATAGATGCGAGAGAACTTGGGTTCCTGCTTTGCACTGTCACGCATGCGAGCGAGGGGCGTCTCCGGGCTAGACCCAATGGTACGGTTACGAGCGTTGGCGTTGCGGTGGTCGATACGGGAATGGTCGCTGGTTCGCACGTCTGCTTTCGCTGGGCGACGACGGTCGTTGACAGCGTCTGACAAATTAGCGACCTGCTCGTCAACTAAAGCAGAGGATGAACATACCTTCGTACGAATAACGGCGTGACATACTGTACCCATTGCTGTCATAAGTGTCGGGACCATCAAGGAGGCCGTAGTCATCGCGAGGGCGGGGCCGAGAGCGGTCAGGCTTAGCACCTCTATCGGACATACGTGTATCCTGACCAGCATAGGAGCTGCCTGGTGCTCGGGGAGTAGGCGGCACGCGATACTCGGGCATCGCTCCACCGCGCTTCCTTGAGGAGGTCGACTTGCTGTATTCCTGCACTGCGTAACTTGTGCTATGGCGCTGATGGGCTTTCGCGGGCAGCTGCTCATAATAACCGCTGCGCATTTGGTAGTCGTGGGTAAGTTCGTGACTGTCATCATCCTGGCCCATTTCGTCGTCTTCACCACTTTCATCGCCGTAAGCCTCCGACCCGTCGGACGAAGATTCCTCGCGGAACAAATCTTTGTAGTATGCGTCTTTCTCCTTGGTGTCCGTTGGCTCATCACGGTTCGTCATAAGATGCTTGTAGCGGATACTAAAGCTTTGGCCGACGGACCAGCCATGGTCCAACATGTCCTCGATGACATCAAAGTCGGTAGTGACGAGCTGAGGCTTCTTGTTGCCGGTATGTTGAATACGGTAGCGAACTACATCCCCCATCAGCTTCTTCAGGCGCGCTTTATCATCGCTCTTGGCGGCAAGAGAGAGGATGGCCTTCAGAACGCTGGGCATCCATTTCATGGGATCGTCCTCCGACTTCCTGTTGTGTGTGCGAGGTTTCCCTTTCTTGCGCTTCTGGAGGGGTCGATGATATTTCGGGATGTAATTCTTGATGAAGTCTTTGCCCCAATGGCCTTCGATCTGCCTAATCAAGGCCTTCTTAGCTCGCGCGTCGTCCTTCTTCACTGGAGGGGGTCTGTTCATTGGCTTCGGGCCTGGCTTCTTCTTGATCTTCTTCGGGGGTGGGCTTGGAATGTCTGCGTCGACCCCTGGGCCGCGCTTGTCGCCACGAGAGAGAAGTCTATGACCGTTGGCTTCACTGCCATTCCGAGCATAGTCAGAAGCATTGCGGCCGTGAGGCTCATGTTCCCGGTTGACCCGCTCATGGAAGTCGTTTTCCCGAGCCCGATGATGACCTTGGCTCTGTTCGCGAATATCCCAGTCGTCCTTGCCAATACGGTCTGCAGATTGCTCACGAAAGCCATCGCCATGATCACTTTGGTCAGACAAGACGCCATCCAGGTTACCCTGCTCATGAATGCCGACATCAAAAGCGCGGTAGTCTTCTTGATTGACACAATCACCGTCCTCATGTCGATTTGGGCCACACAGATTTTCGTCACGGAATCGGTTCCCGTTGGCTATGCCCCCATCTGATTGGCGACGATGCTCTTGCCCAGCCAATACCTCGTCGCTGTCCATGCCGTCTTTCCGGCTGCGGATTTCGTCGGGGGCCGCCGGCGCGGCGTCACTCATCCTTCTCTGGAGCAAAAGTTCAATGAACGCTGACCAGGAGCATACACGGACTAGCACTTACTGGTAGTGGCGTGGAGTTAGAGAAGAAGCGGATATCAGACTGGCGCGGTGACGCTGTTGGTGACGAAGCGGCAAATAGATCCGGAGTAGGTAGGCGCTCAAGCCGCTCTGGCGACAACCAGACTTGTTGGGAGCGTCCCAAAGAACGAGAAGTCTCAATGGTGGGTGGATCGTTAAGCGCCTCCAGGTTTGCGTACGAGAGTCCTCTCAGAGCTTGAGGAAAGAAGGGAGCGGCAGATTGTGGGAGAAGAGTTTCTGGTGGGTGGCGGTGAGCTTTTTCTGCTGCGATTCCAGCCACGCTAGTCTCATTTGGTGAGTCAAAGCGACGGTTTTGGATCGGAACCGGTGAAAGAAGCTCCTATGAACTGTTATCCATCAGTTGCAGTCTGCTGGGTTACCCTACGAGTGCACCTTATCGAAGGATGCCGTGAAAGAGTGAAAGCGACCGGGCGGGATCTGTATGTTAAAAATAGAACTCAGTCGCTGTACAGTTCTGTTGTTGTATCCAGGTGAAATTGTAGAGTGGAGATCCCTCGTTGAAAAGGCGGTATGGAGGACGCAACTTCGATCCACCAAGCAGCTCCGAGTGATCCGTAAGAAGACCTGACTCTGAGGAGAATTATGCACTAGGCAGCACTGGCAATTAACAGCGCAAGAGCAATACTGCGAGACGTGCGGAGCGTTCACGCAGGGCTTTGGGAACCGAAGCGGCACCACCCACATGAACTTGGCGGAGCTGTCGGGGAGTGGGAAAATTGGTGTTCCGCAACACCATATTCTACATCGAACCCTCACCTGTCGATAACTAGGTTGCCAAATATGGCTCCATGGTCAGACGGAGTGCATCCATAGTTTCGCAGGTCAGCAGGACAAGTAGGCATTGTGCAGTCTCCCTGGCGAAGTCCGACAGGCTGTGAGTACTGGAACCATTGAATGCGCCGCCCCATGCTTCTTCGGAGATTCAAGGAGGATAAATGGTCGTCAATTATTGAACAACGCCGACGTTATCCTAACGAGACTGTGCAGGCGCCAGAGCACGTGGTTCAGCTGTTACACTGGAGAACGGTGGCTTTGTATGTTGAGAAACGACTTAATAAAGGAATGCCTGCAAGGAGAGATATAAGACTTTGACAGCTGCTGAGCCCAATCCATGACTATAGTGCCGAGATTAGCTTCATTGCTAAGCCTGGCGAACCTGATCACAACAGGTGATGACTGCCAAAGAGCAGACGCGGATCCATGCGAAGCCCCTACGGATCTAACGGAATGGTCCGCGAGATCCACTCAGGCGTCGGTAGCAAATTGAGAGCGACGGTTCGAGGGAAGGAGAGATGGAACACTAAGGAGGACGTCGATTTAAAGTTGGACAGCGAACGCTAAGGAAGGCGAAGCTTTGACCATCGACCAATGACGCCTGAGGACACGCGTTTGCTCCTGAACTACACTGGAGTGCTATCCTCTCAAATCATTTGAAATAGCAGGACTCATGTCACGCAACTGTTGGGACCGGCCACCAATAGTCGAGAACAGCCACAGATCCGAGTCCCGCGAATTCACCACCTCGTCTTGATCACGTGATGTAACCCTCCTCAATCATCGCCAGGAAATATTTGAGGGATATGGGTAATCCAGGGAAGCCAATAAGTGCTCACCATCATTTCGTCTCCGTCAGCGCGTACAGGCTGTAGCAATACTGTCAGAACGTCAGATATCTAGCACTTCTACCTATGTAATCGTATGGTATGAGCTCTAGCCCGGGAAGTTTCAGGGAAAACGGCCCTGCGGAGAGAAGAGAGCGATGCTCCTTATACATAACGAGGAGTAGAAGAGCAAAAGTTTTACTCTGCAAGAGTGTTGATAGATTGAGAAACCCCCGCTGTGTCGTAACAAACTGACTTGCGACTTCCCTTGAGCAATCATGGCAACAATTGGCACTGGCAATTGACTTTTAGGCGAAGTACATAAAGCCTCGAAGCGTATCCTAAGATATTATGCTGCCCGCCGCTCCTCATTTATCCCTGACCGCTATGCATTAAAATCGGGTACTTACAACTTCCGGGCACCATGACTCTAGCACACCGTGTAGTGGCAGCGCCAATTCCAAAAAAGAAACTTGTTAAAATATATACATATCGTCGCCAGGTTTTGTTTTCCTCTATCTCACAGTCTAAGAATCCAGCAGCCGGTGCCTAGGGTGACAACGCGGGCGGTATTCCAGCTTGAAACATTTTCGTCAGTCACTATCACGGATCTTAGAGTGAACGGCTAAAGCGTAAGTGCACAGAAAACATATTAGTGAACGATTAACTAAGATTTGCCAAGTTTCTCACTTCATTATGCTGATGGTGTTAAGATCGCGCCACTAGATTTACTAACGGCCCAAGCATCAGGTCCAACTTCATGGCACCCGGATTACCTTGTCACAGTAAGGTTTCGCTGTGTGAGTGGCGCATACCAAAAGGCGATGTCTTGCAGTGGTACTTGCTGTTATAGAAGCTTGACCAGTGCGTGACGTGTTGTCCGTATTTCTGCGGCCCATATCAGGGTTCGTGTGAAAGCCGCCCAACAACAACATTTGTGACGTTGACCGCTCTATGAAAGTCATGCTTTCACACTTGGCAAGCACGGGCGGACTGTCGCGTCACCCAAATCCGCTGAGTATATAATCTCTATGTATTCTTGTACACAACCTGCGTGCGGACAACCTTGCAACAACTCAACCTTGACTGACGAACCGCCGATTTCTAGTAAGTACTCACATCTCGATGCCCAGGTAAACTCGCACACTAACAGCCCACTCCATCTAGAACACAAATACTCCTCACCTTCCCCCTCGTAATTATACCCTTGTACACTTCTGCCATTGTCAACGACTCAGAAAGACTAAGTCTGTTGAGACAGCCCCTACCCGCCAGATACGCTTGGCTAACATCGCTCAGAGCTTTCATTAAGGTTGCAAAGGTTGAACGCAATAGGCAAGGCGTCTTTACGTCATGTCGAAGTCGAGCATCTCAGTGGCTGTACCAGGTTCCCATATGGCCCCCTTACGGAGATGGACAGCCTTAAAGAATTCCTCGTGACACAGACAGACGCAGCAGTTCTTCGCCACTGCCTAGGACTTGAGCTCATCCCGAATGCGCCGCGTCTCCTTAACCACGCAGTTGCCAATGTCCTGGACTGCGAGTCTTACGAACGCGATCAATCCAAGCTGACGGAAATTGGCCTCGATACGTTCTATACTCGGGACATGCACTCTACTACCTCTATAGGCCCACATGGACTCCATCTTCTCGAGAATGTTTACTTCTACCACCATAGGATCACTACCATCGTGCTACGCTGGAGTGCTATCCTATTAAATGATTTGAAATAGCAGCACTCTTGTCACGCAACTGTTAGTACCTGCCGCTAATAGCCAATAATAGTTACAGATCTAAAGTCCTACAAATTTACTACTATATCTTAATTACGTAGCATACTACTCCTTAATTCAATTACTATTTTTTGTCTCTATACAACGGTTATAGGCTGTAGCAAGTGCTGTCAACATGTTACATATCTAGCACATCCATTTGTAAGATATATGTGCAATGCACTGTTCGACCATTAAACTGTTAATTATTCAGCCAGGGATAAATTCAGTGAAAACGGGCCTGCGGAGAGACGCGAGCGACATTCATACATTAACGAACATTTTAAAGACAAGGTTTCACACTGCACTACTTTGGATGGCTTGCGAAACTCTTGATGTGGTCGTATCAATGCCTGAACGCTGAGCGAGTTTGCATGATATGTTTGCCCAAGAATGCTCCACTCTAAGACTAGCAACACCTTTAGAAGGCATTAACGGTATTTGTAACATTCCGACGGGTTTCGAATAAGCTCATGCAACCTAACTGTAGATTAGTTTGCTAATCTGGGACAGAATCAGCGTCAAACGGTTTCACCTAACACCTGAGACCGCCCTATGACGTTTGTTCCTCCGTCTCAGAGAAAAAAAAATGATTGGTATATAGTCCCAAGAGCGTTGGGCGAGGGAAACATAGTACTAGCGGAGTTCTAGCAATATAAACGTCGCTACCTTGCTACAGTGATAACTTATATATATCTCTGGCCGATTGCTTGGTCGGTCCAAACAGGAGACCAGTCTCGATGCGATAGACATGGCGCAGCGTACTCGCCCCAGAGTTATTCAATGTCATCGTTACCAATGTCACGGATTAGCTGATCAAGGGCCATTTTCCCATCTGAATGCATCATTACGAGCCATCAATCCACGATCGAATGGGGACTCGGACTCCCATGAGGACGTCATCACATCCACTTGCGCCATTCACATACGTACTGTAGCTTTCCCTATCTGACTGAACTTCCTCCGAATGTCAGATTACCTGCTCCGCGGAACTCAATTGGCTATAATCCAATCAATAGCGTATTCTCCTCTTTGCTTGCATGGTCCAGGAGGTACGGTCCTTTCTTTCCCAAGGTTCTGAGGCACTGCGCTGATTGGTGTCCAAATCCCCTTTTTTACGGTTTACGCAAAGCAGCGTCCCGACCGCTGTCCAATGGGCACCGAATAACCCGGCAAAGAATCCGTGACCCCAAGCGATGTTGACAACGCTGTCATACAAGATGCATAACTCGTTTGAGTTCCTGCCCCGAACGACATTGTGCAGCAGTTCTCTTCTCATTATATGTGATTTTGGATATCTTCATATATAGCTCATCATTGTTTTCGGACAAAGTCGACAAGCTTGAATGTGCACAATGCGAACACCTCCGGGGCCCGCTAATATAAAATCCCCCAGCACAAATACCTTACTCTTTTGTCAGACCCACACCGATACTCCTTCCAAATAATGGACACTTGGGACTTTGATTCTCACTCGTCCCTACCAGTGGCGCAGGACCCCACTGGTATGCTTTACTTTGGCCCGTCTACGGAAATGGAGCATCTGAAGGAGTTTCTGCAGTCCCAGAGCAGCGCCTCTGTTCTTGCGCATGCTTTGGGTATTCGCATCATTCCACACGCACCGTCGTTACTGTCCAATGCCATAATCAACGTCGTAGATTGCGAATCATGGGAGCGCGATGGCAACAAGTTGACCGAGATCGGCCTCAGTACATTCTCAGTTCATGACATGCATGCAGTCCCGTCGCCTGGGGACCATGGTATCAATTTGCTGAAGAATGTCTACTTCTACCATCATCGGCTTACTACGACAGCTCTTCTTATCAATGGTCGTTGGGTGGCAGGTAACCCTACGAAGAATCGATTTGGGAACACTCGTTTCGTAACTCCCGCAGAAGCGAAGGCTGCTCTTCGAGAGGCATTCAACTGGCCCTTGAAACCTGCAAAGGGGAAAGGTGAGCCAGAGTATTGCCCTGTGATTTTCATGGGCCATGCAATTCATAACGACCTGAGCATGCTTAGTCGGGCATTGGACTTCGATGTATCGCTGTTCGGAACCGCGGTAATGACGATAGACACTCAAGAGCTCGCGCCATCGCTAGGCGTATACACTGGTCCTGGGCATCTTATTAGCCTTCGAAGACTCTGTGAGAGCCACGGGTTCGAATACCGTGATACACATACGGCCGGGAATGACGCAGCATACACCTTATTTGGCGCGGTCTTCATGGTCCTGAATCACTTTGGCATTGCCGGTGAGGGAGGTCTAGATGCTGCGACTGACGAAGGAAGCTCACCCACACTAACACCGCAGCAGGTAGTCGATACCATTGAAGCGCTTAGTCGGGACCAGGTGGACAATTGGGGTGTTGCAACATTCTGTGAGCGCTGTGATCGCTACAACCATCTTCGACGAGACTGTCGGGCTAGAGTCAATTGTCAAGTCTGCCTGCAAGCCAACCGCAAAGGCGCAGCCCGTTCCCATATGACGAGCAGGTGCACCTGGAAGTAGGCGTAATGCTGGCGGCCCGAATTCACTCACCCTTAGTTGGGTCGCTTGTAGAAGGTTTCAAGCCTGTCAAGCGCCAAAGCGGTAGGGTATCCGGCGAGCAATCGTGAACAGGCACTTCCCAAGGGTTGTTGGTGTTACTAACCTAAACTAGAGTAGTCACATGTGTGCTACCATTTCCAAGGGTTCCTTACTACAATACAAATATATCCCTTTACAATCACATGACTCTTCTTTATCCTTGTCGATAATTACTCCAGACTTAGCACATGTCCGCGAATCTCTATTCTCTATAAGTACTGGCATGGTGATCCATTCGATGACCACGTCCTATATAAGTATAATTGTGGTCCTGACCCTCAAGGACTAACGCTGGGATAGTAGGGGAATAACCGATGTAACCACGCACGTCAGCTTTCCGCTTAATTGTACATGTGACTATCCCCATGTTTGCGCAGCCAATCCTGTCCTATTCGTCTCGTTTACTATTTGAAGCGCACAAACATGAAAGCTTTAGGTTGGTTACGTAAGCTTCCCAGCCCGCAATTAACAATCCATTGAAAGAATGCGCGTAGCAACTAATATCAATCCAAACTGGAAGTGAGGACGTGGTATAAATGGCGCATATAGAGTAGCTGGAGTAAACTGAACGGTATAAAGTCCCCACTTTTAACCAACAAACATCTTGTCGCCGTGCGCTTCCTACAGTATGAGAATTCCACTGAGATCAACGCCGTAGGAATTGACTTTGCAAAGTCTCATGCAAGTTGTTTGCCTTTTTCCCTCGATTACGATATGGTCGAACATTTTTCATCCACTATGCTGGAGTGGAAAGCTCAAATCAAGCCCCACTTATCGGCCAACCGTCCAATGGCTTAGAGATCTTGGATATAAGTGCTAGTTATTCGCCATCGCAGACGCATTTTAGCATGGCAGACCCGTCTTGTGTCATATTTCTACGCTCAGGGTTCCTTTATATAGTCAAAAGCGCAGTTCTTAGAATCTGTGTTTCTGCCTTGTGCCGTTCACACTTCTCGAGGTACATAGCCAAGCATTACTCGACTTAAAGTGGGAAGGGTCGGGCCACGCTAGACTTTCACGCCTGGCAGCCGGCCTTTACACCTCTGTACCGCACATATAAACTAAGTTTCCATCCGGAATAACACAGCCTCAGACACAACTATCTGGGAAGCATACCCCAGTCACCATGTCCCAAACCCAATCGCCCGTCAATTCCGCTAAGAACCCGCTCGGGAGTCTTAAGGACTTCCTGTGCCTGATCTGAGATCACAGTATTGCGACACTTGCTGGGAATGGCAAACCTCAAGAACGTGCCGGCAATTATGGACAAAACTGTCATCATCTGCTTGGACTGTGAGTCCTACGAGATCGACTACAGCAAGTTAACGAATTGAACCTGTCGCTGCGTCACTGGTGGACCTCCATGGCGCAGAGACCCACTGTCGAGGACCTAACTTGGGAACCCCCTTCGATTTGGACGATCAATACCGCCAGACGAAAAGCTGTGAGGGAGCAGCTTTTTTCGCCCATCATGTTGCAGACCGCCCAGCACACCTAGCAACTAGATTCTGGTTTTGGTGGAAGCTTCCTCTCTCTGGACAGATCATTATATACAGCATCATTCATTGTGTATTAATCCGGAAATTTCAGTATTGTCGAGTATGTAATCTATCCGTTCTTTCACGGGTGCGTCGTGCGAAAATGACCCTACAAAAGAACGGGCGCCCGCACATTCACTGGAAACATGAGCGCCTATATGGAGCTGCACTAACCTTCCACAACTGCTGCAAGATTGAACACTATGTTCCAGACGGTCCGAACAACCGCGCGCAGATCACGGCGCATTCGCACCACTTTTCACATAAGTCGGTCCGAGTTGCGCACACAAAAGCACAACTTCAACCCCTGGGATATTTCAACCAAGTTCAACGATGGCGAGCAACAGTCAATCTCTCGAAATCGATCTCCAGAAACGCTCCTCCTTAGCGGTTATGCGCCATCTGCTGGGAGTCGAGTCCATACCTGACGCGCCTACGCTGTTGGAACATGCAATGATTCTCTGCATCGACTGTGAGGCCTATGAATTCAATCATAACAAAGTCACCGAGGTGGGACTGGCAATGGTCTCTTCTTCAGACTTTCGCGCCGTACAGCCCGAATTACAAGGCCCTTTCGCTGAGAACCTGTTGAAGAAGATCTTCTTCTACCATTTCCGAGTCATCGAGAACGCTCACCTGATAAATCGCCGCTTCTGCCCCGGGAACCCTACAAAGAATCGCTTCGGACAAACGCGTTTCCTAACCCTCTCGCAAATCCAGGATGCTCTGACCTCGGCCTTCAATTGGGATATCGATCCGGAGGATCCTGGGGTTGGTCGATGCCCGATTGTGCTCATCGGACACGCTCTTCAGAACGACACGAACATGCTGGGTAGCATTGGGATAGACGCGTCGATTCTTGATATGGTAGTTAAGACTGTGGACACCCAAGTGCTGGCAGGCGAGGTGGGCTTGCCATCGTACAGAGGGCATTGGATTGGGCTCCGGAATCTCTGTCATATCCACGGCTTCTCTCCACTGGATTCTCACACAGCTGGAAACGATGCAGCGTACACCATCCTTAACGCTGTTTTCCTCGCCATGCGCAATGAACTGTTTGTGGACGGTCTCGAGACAGCTGTGAACGGTCTCGGGACAATTCAAGATGTGGTGGATTCAATTTCTCACGAAAGCACAATGCACATCTATCGATATGGAAGCGCAACATTCTGTGAGGGTGCGGGAGTCATACTCACCTTCGGGCGAAATGCCACGTCAGACTGACGTGCAGACTGTGCTTGGAGAGGGGTCGACGCAATGCCGCGCGTACGCACACGACGGAGAAGTGCACTGGGCTCCAATAAGTGCGCCCTCATTTTCTTACCGCTATCAATAGATCTGATGCTGTGGACTGTCCCTGAAGGCGGGTGTAAACAGGGATGTGCTGTTTATGATGTGCACACTGGCAGAGGAGGGATGATAGGATTGTAGAGACACGCGTAAATGGCTTCATTTGGCGTTCTAATCTGGGATGCATTTTTCTGCACACTGTCGTGTCTGCAGAAGACGCATGATATACTACCCAATAATATCTCTTCATGGTAAAATATTGTTTGAACCTGACCTTCAGTCTACTACAAGTGGAGAATTACTTGTCTCATAATTTAAGGGTCAGCCAGAACATTTTATTCCCCTACTTTTCAGGTGAACAGACACACACTGCAAGCTGGCGAGTGACATTGGAGGTCGGTTAAACGTTGTTGACTCAAAATAAGGGCCACAGACCTATGCAGCGGAAGCACAGATTACAGGAGGAAGGAAGCAGGGAGAATGTGACGCAAAACCATGTTCCTGTTTCTACCAGACGAGAGGTCCATGGTGGGTTTCTGTTGAGTGATTTACCTACATGAGACACTGTCTACGCCTTTGTGAATCCTGTTTCGCCACAGAAAATCCGAAACAAAAAAGTAACGGCATTCTTTCTTTGTCTATGCTGTCTAATCAAGCGGATTTCCAATGCATCTTACCGTGTCTTACGCTAACTGAAGATATAAACACATCTTGTACTCCCACGACAACGGCATACTTGGACTTGACTTACAGGCATTCGCTTCTATGCTCATCGTTCGCCAACGATACAAATAGTCACGCCTTGATTTGCAGCAAGTTTGTCTTTGCATCCCTACAACGTCCCCTCCAGAATTCCCACCACCTTGCGCCAAATCACCCGTGTCCCGCTGGATTTCAGCTCCGAGACGCCTGAACAATGAAGCGTATCCTGCTTGGTTTTAGCCCAATTTTGTATACATCTGAAGGTTTGAAAGCCTCTTTGGAGCCGCTGAACAATGTCACAGCCTTTGTGCCTCTGTACAGTTCAGCTATGTACACAATGGTAAGACCCTATGATATATGCACCTTTTTTCGCCTGTTACAGTACTCTTTTTGAGAAACCCCAACTCGTTCAAACTGTAGACACTCCATTGTCGAAAAAATTCTTCGAGGTATCGAAAGCTGGCCCTACAACCACCGCACCAAATATCCAATAAAATGTCTTTACCCGACTCAACATCAAGTCAGCTCGACGAACCTTGCTGTCTCCCGCCCTACCCAGCTACTGCTCTCTGCTTGCCAGAAGTCTGCAATCCCCTGAACATCCTCCTCAAGGAAGACCGCATATTTGAAGCGGGAGAATACTGTGGAGTAAATACCTTTCTCTTACGGAAAATCATCCGACATGCCGTATGCCAGAGCAGTAAGGCAGCATGGGTGGCCATTAAATTGGAACTCTCCGCCCCTTGTGTATCTCCAAAGATCCTCCGGAACCATATCAACCTTCGGGGGCTATACGACTCCCTTATCTCCCACATCTTACTCCTGCAGGAATCTCTAGAGGAAAGAGACCTTGATTATAAGGAAACGGTAGCTCGCATAACAGGGGTGCTTGCTCAACGCTTAGTGCACCATGTTAATCGGAAGAAAAAAGCCTGCCACGCATGGGAGAAGAGTTTGTTTTTCTACGACAAGGCACTTAATTGACCAGCCTTGTAATAATGTAGCCGGCAAGGCAGTACTTCGTCGAGTCGAGACCTTAGAGCAAATACAGATAAACCGCGAGCTCCCCTTTTGGAGAACAGACGATGTCTTCATGACAGCATTCGCCGTTGGCCGTGATCCTGATCGCGCACTACAACATTGCCGTGCCATCACGCCGTATGATTTTGGTGAGTCATTTAGCTTGTCTGAATCCCAAGACGCACTGGATGGCGGCGGAAAACCCATCGCAGCTGCTGAGCAATGCTCCATCTGCCTCGAATTTTCTCAGGGTAACGACAAGTTCCTTCGTACACGGAAATGCAGTCATATCTTCTGTGCCGACTGCCTTACAAAATGGGCCGATGAAGGTCTTGACATAAATGAAGCCTCGCCGAAGTGTCCCTACTGCAGACAGGCCATAGACATGGTCGATCCAGATGAGCGCTTTGTCATTTGGAGTGCGTCCGGTCAAGTCGCACGCATCAGTATGCGCAAGGCTCTTACTTGGGTATGGTTATGCGAGGTTCGCGTTCCTCATAGCCCCTATGCTGGCTTGAAAACCAGCGGATGGCTGATAAATGCCGGGTCGCCATGATGTCCTCTACTGATGAAGACTTTGCGAAGCGAGTTCGCCGGCATCGGCGAATTGGTGATGCCTTTTCTGATTCCAGCCATCAAGCGCATCCATCACCTTCTTTTGAAGCAGTCGAGCAGCAGGATCAGTTAGCATCTGACGAAATGGAGGTCGAGGAAGATGATTCCTATGAGGAGTCTGAGGAGGACTCTGAAGAAGTCTCCGAGGAGGACTTTGACGAGCAGTCTAGGTCGGAATTCGGCGACGGTTACTTCAACGAGGCGAGACCGTAGCCGACAGTATCTAGGTATGCTGACCCATTCTCTTGCGGAACTTGAGGATGCCTCGAAGACGATAAGCGGTGTATGTAATCTGTACAACCTGTCTCGAACCTGAGAAATTCAATTTTCTTAACAGAGGATATGTGAACATTCAAGGGATGTTTCCGTTTATGTGGTCCTGTTGAAGAAGATTCATCTGTGTTCGAAGCGGTCGGCGTTGTCCCTCAAGGAACAGTTATCCAAGTTTCTTCGCGGAATGATAAATGAGCAGGCGTATCGGCTCAAAATATTTTCCTTCGAATCATGATCAGTTGATAATAGATCACGTTGTGCACTCAGTTCAATCGTATATTCCCTTTGCTTGTCCTGCCCCTTAATGCGTTGTGCTTATGGTCTTTAACTTGTTCGCTTTCATCATTTATTTTTCTGTGCATCTGGAGTCGTCTGTCGCTTATAGATTCCAAGTTCGTCCTCTTGTTTCACGCTGTCACAGGGCTCCTTCCCTGAAACGTTGAAAGCTTCGTAAAGCTTGGCACGATCACGACGTCTTACCTTTTGTGCAGATCTCAAATTCGATCATCACCCACCACCTGAAATTCAGCATGCATCATGGGGCTCTCCCGCCGTGTACTCGTTATCGTTACATCGGTACTTCTTTTGTTCGTGGTGGCCATCTCCCTCGTTGCAGCGATTGAGGTCAGAAGCTCTCCGCGAAAGATCATACCCATACTTCAAGTGCAGGCGCAGCAAGCCGGAAAGTCTGATCGCGAGTCTGTCAAGGGAAAGGCGAAAATCAATGGTTCCGATTTCGACCGCGCAGACATCTATCCTGCGCCAACTGTATATTTGACGGCGGAGCCAACACCGGTGCCGACAACGCCGCTCATGACGACATCCATATTTTGGAGCAGCATCAACGACGAAGATGGGATGATAGGGCGGAGTAAAACGGCGCCATTACCCTCGACGAGTGTTGTCGGGAAACCCAGCAGCAGAGTCAAGTCATCACTTCCCTCTGCTCCGACGGGGCTACCTGGCGCATCACCCCCTCCAACAAACCCCCAGCTGCCGATAGTGGCAATGACATATACTGGATCAAGTGGCCCGCAACACTGTCGTGGAGAACTGATAGCACGGGTAGACTTCCCACTGCCTCCTTCGGCGTACAAGAACGGCACCTGCATCAACCTTCCGGCTATGGCTCGCTGCGGTGTATTTTTCGCTTACAAGGAAGCCGGATGCGAGGCCGATCTGTTCAATGCGGATGACTGCTTGAAGACGACAACGACGTATGTGAACACCGTTGTGTTCATGCCTGAGGAGAGAAGCGTTGGCGCCTATTGGAAGAGCATGAAGATCAGATGCGGAGTCGAGGCACCTGAGGCGAAGCTTTTGGATCCCGCACTGCTGGAGGGCTTGGTCAAGAACCCAACAGCAAAAACAGGGACGCCGTAAGAGGTTGCAGTCATGTGTCGATGTCCATAAGGCCAGGAGGTTTTCCACGCCGGCCAGCAGTGCATCCCCAGAGCCCCAGTAGACCCGGGACTTCATCTGGAAAGCCCTCACTTCATCCACGGATCTGCTATGGCGTACCAATCGTATCTGCCGCTATTAGCAGCGCAAGGTTCAGTCACAGCTCAACTGAGGTGGCCGGCTTGGCAGTGAATGCCTCGTCACGTGATCAATCTGCGCATTTCTTTGCGGTATCCGTCCAGGATGAGGGAATTTGTGTTCAGAACATCAACATGAAATGATTATTGTGAAGAAATGGTAATAGAGTACCTCCGTCCGGCCTTATCCTAACAGTATGTCCTACGCGAGCTTTGCAACTGACGTCATACTGACCATGACCTACCTCCAACAGATAAACCATACTAAACTTGAACGCCATCCACCCAACATCACACTCCCAATATCCCAAACAAGTCCAAGCAAAAGCAAAACCTCCAAGATGACCTCCAAAAAGGTCCTCATCATAATGTCCGACGCCTCCTCCTTCCCCCTCTACAACACGGGCGCCGAATCCAAAACCATCCAACAGCCCTCGGGCTACTTCCTCATGGAACTCGCCAAACCCCTCAAGCGCCTCCTAGAAGCCGGCTACGAAATCGCCTTCGCCTCGCCCGAAGGCAAAGAACCCACTCCCGACCCGCTCAGCCTCTCCCTCGCCGCCTTCGCAGGCAACTTCTACGAGCGTAAGCGCGAAACGGACCTCATCGAGCGGATGAAGCGCGAAAACGGTTTCTCTCGGCCGAAGAAGTTTTCCGAGATTAGCGATGCGGAGTTGGAGGGGTATGCGGGGGTTTTCATTCCGGGGGGCCATGCGCCGTTGGCGGATCTGGGGGATAATGCCGAGCTGGGACGAATTCTGCGGCATTTCCATGAGAGGGGGAAACCTACGGCGGCGATTTGTCATGGGCCGTATGCGTTTCTGTCGACTAAATATGTCGGGGATGGGGAGTTTGCGTATAAGGGGTATAAGATTACGAGTTGGTCTGATGCGGAGGAGAAGTTCATGGAGACGGTCGTGTTTAGGGGGGAGGTGACGAAGGTGGCGTCGAGTTTGCAGGAGGCGGGTGCGGAGATGGTGGAGGGCTTGGGGACGGCGTTGGGGCAGGTTACGGTGGATAGGGAGCTGGTGACGGCGGATAATCCGGTGGGTGCGGATGCGCTGGGGCAGAAGTTTGTTGAGATGTTGAAGGCGTAGGTGGGAGAAACGAAGCGAGTGTTAAGACGACCCCCTCGCTGGCAATCAATTACGCGTTGGGAATACCCACGGTGCTCGATCTGGTGTTCTACAAGTCGGCAGTGCGAGCAATCGAGTTCGATACATGCGATGATCACGCGAAGTTACCGATCTCCTTCACGTAATAGGATTTCGACGCCGAGGGACGAGATACCCGTAAACAAGCATTTCGATATTAAAAGCCAAGGCCTCCGGACGGGCCACTCATCCCAAGGGGACGGAGTAATAATGATGCCTCGCCGCATCGGCACATCGTGCGCGACCCTGCATGATGTTCGTTACCAGAACCCGGTCCCTTGGAGAAACTCAAACCACCTGTGCGGGATACGCTTCTCAAGGGTCGATTGTCTTGGACTTGGATCACGGAACGAACACGGGTCGAACTTATGAAGGGGCGAACCTGAGGGAACGAATTTTGTGCTACGCACGCTTCGGAGTTAGGGATTTGACTTCAACGAATCTCGTCTTCTCCACCATGTAGAAAGAAAAAGTCACTTCAGATGCACGAACAGGGAATAGATGCAAAGTACATTATCTATCAATCAAGCACTAAACATGCAAATCCTTCCCCAAGATCAATGAAATCGAAATGCAAAGTTTACTATCTAGCCACTAACCGTGCCATATCCACCCTTCCCAAAGATTCAATGAAATCAAACATGCGACCTAAAACTAGGAGACCCAGTGATCACGCTGGACATGGCGCTTCCCCTTGCCACGGCCCTTGAACTTGCTCAGCCTAACGAGGAATGCCCCACGGTCGATAGTATTGATCACAATCCACCCGCTCGGGAAGGTATAATGGCTCCAGGTCCCAGCCTCCCAAACCGCACGACCGCCACCCTCCTCATGATCATCCTCAGGGTACGTATCAAAGAACGCAATCTCCTTGACTTCTTTACCGCTGGGGACAAAGGGGATGGAGCTGACGTCGAGGACGTGGAGGCCGGCCTGGTAGTTGGACTGGTACGAGAGGCCGTCGTAGACGAATTGGTTGTGGTCGACGGAGCGCGTGCTCGACTTGTAGTAACCCGTGTTGACGGGCTTCTCGAGGTTGGTGATGTCCCAGATGTAGGTGACGGGGAAGCCGTCCTTTGCGGGGCTGTCCGGGTTGGTGTGCTCTGGGTCGAGTTCGCCCTCGTCGAGCTCGTCGTCCATGACCAGGTGGGTTTGCCAATTGGGGTCGAGGACCCAGCCTTGGTGCTGTGAGAATGTTAGCTTAGCTCGGAGAAGGTTGAGCGAGAAGTACATACAGTGTAGGTGGCGCCAACGTAGGGGGTGCGAGAAATGATGGTAGAGGAGTTGCCGCCCTTCTTGTCGGTGACGTCGTAGATGGTCAGGGTATCCTCGTTGTAGCCGTAGCAAATGTCACGGCCGTAGTACTTCTTGTGAGGGCCACGGTAAACGATGCACTGAGCATCATGGACGTAGCCGTCCTGCGGCGCGCAGCCGGTCTTGTACGGTTTCGCCGGATTATCCATGTTGATGAAGATGAGACCAGATGCGCACGTGTCGTTGCGAGGCTGAGCACCAACGCCAACGGCATAGTTCTTCTCCTCATTGACAACGACGTTGTGTACACGTCCCATGGGGAGGTCTGAATGATCCATGTCAGTGTCAAGAATGCCGTGCTGCTTATTGCTTCCACGTACCGTTGAAGAGCGCAGTGAGGTCGGTCTGGGTCGAGAACACCTTTGGCTTCTTGGGATCGACAGTAAGAAGCTTGCGAAGATCGAAAATCTGGACGCCGTGATATTTGGCCTCGGAGCCGATGATGACGTAGTTTCCGAGAGTCTTGATCTCGCGCCAGATGACGGGCTCAGACTGCTGGGGAAGGCGACCGAGATAGATGAGCTGGCCTTCCTTCGAGACCTCGGCGAAGGCAGCACCATCGGCCTGTCCGATGATGATGAACTCGCGACCTTTATGGCTCCATCCCCAGGAACCGGAACCCTCTCCGGTAGTGCTGCCGAGCTCCCCGTGGGTCAAGAAGTCGTACAGATCCTGCCATGTGTTGGTACATGATTAGGAATTTTGGGGTTGCACAGAGATGGCTCACAATGTCCTTGCATTTGTACGTCTGGCTGGGGTCCCCCTTGACAGCCTCCACCTTGCCGTTGATGCATCGAATGCGGTTCTTGTCAGAGCGCCTGTCACGGAAGCCCCTCCATTTTCTGTGATCGAAGCCACCAGCGGCTCGGTGTTTCGCCCAGGCACGCTGCCGTAGGGTCAGTACAGAATAACTTTTTGCATGAGCAGCGCATTCAGTACCTCTTTCGCCTGCATCATCAAGGCCATGACCTCTCCCGACTCATACTGCTGCCTGGAAAAGCCTGCTGCGGAGACCAATGGCAATAATGCCATTGCGATGGTGGAGTACTTCATCTTGTTAACAGGAACCACGAAGTCTTCGATGGGATTTCGAGCTGGCAGTGGCATTCGCAAAGAGCAGCGTAGGCTTCCTTATATATGGCTCCCCGCTTCGTTCCCACCAGCCCGGTCCATCAGTGTTCACGATACGACACCGCCTGGTCCATGGTCGCATCAAGCCTAATCCCGACCAGAGGCGAGATTTGACCTTCCTATCGCGGATAGCTGAGCTAGCGATGTCTGTAGGGAGTAGGCCTGTCTATGGTGCAGCAGCCGAGATGGTGTTCTAGGCGGCCAGGGCGGTGCGCAGCTTCGGGACGGGTACCGTGACTCACCGCCTGGCGATCGCCCCCACCTGGCGATCGCTGAACACCAAATGTTCGACATTTTTACACGACGACCACCACCGCAATATATACGCTATGGATGCCGCATTGGAGTTGTTGAAGTCGCTGAAGCCTGGAGAAAAGCCTAATTACGCACAGGT